CATAGGCTCCGCCCCCTCTCCCCGTGCCGGCAACAGAGGCGGAGCGGGCGCGCGAACCACTGCACTTTATTAATGAGCCGCTACAGCACCGAGCCCGGGGGAAAAGCTGGGGGGTTAGTGTGGGGAATGGAAGGGGGGGACACCGCCCCCCCCCCCGCCGTCGGATCGGGGGCTTGTCCCGCCTGGTCCCATGGGAGCCAAGGGGACACAGAGCCCAGGGCTGGGAAGGGAGCACACGGGCCCTGCTCCTGCTCAAGGTGCCACCGCGGCCCCGGGCCCTGACCCGCGAGGAGGGGACAGGGCCGCTCCTGCCCGCCGTCCCCAACAAGGCACTTGGGCACGCGGGGCCCCTCCTGCTCCTGCRTGGTGCCGTGGGAACCTAGAACCAGGAATGGTGACGGGAAGCAGCTCCCGCCTCTAAGGAGGGAACCAGCACGGGAGAAGCTGCCAGGAGCTGCCGAGCAGGGACAGAGGAGCTAAAAGAGCAAACAGCATCGGCTGCTTGTCCCCGCTCCGGGTCCCTCGTGCACAGGGGTGATGTGGAGGGAATTGCCTCCCGCTATTCCCCTTTTCCTACCAATAGGGCCCCCCCGAGTGCTGCCGGTGAGAAAGGACGAGGCCAGCGGTGCGCGAGGCCGGGGAGGCGGCGCCCGCCGCGCACACGCGGTAGTTYCTGCCCTGGTTGTTGTCCCAGTGCGTCGCCTGCCCGCACTGAAAGGAGATGCAGAACTCGATGGCGCGGCGGCGGCCCGAGGGCTTGGGCAGCGTGAGCTCGAAGGAGAAGGTGTCGGTGTCGGCCGGGCTGCAGGGGCTGTGCAGGTACTGGCAGGAGACGTCGCGGAAGCTCTTCCAGCCGTCGAAGGTGACGCGCACGAGCACTTTCTTCTCGTACCCGATGTTTCTGACCTTCACCGTCCCCGAGAGCGCGCGGTCCTGGAGGAGGCAGTTCTCCAGGCAGACCAGGTTGCTGTGCAGGCGGCTACGAAAAGCCACGTAGTCCACGGGGGGCTGCGAGAAGTCCAGCACGTACCTGCAGGGCTGCGGGTCGCGCTGCCAGGGCCGGAAGGCGGCGAGGTCCGAGAGGACGTGCTGCAGGTCGCACAGGTCCTCCTCGATCTTGGAGAAGAAGCGCACGGCGGTGAGCGAGAAGCCCTTCATGTCGGCGAACACCACCCTCTTCTTCTTCTGAGCCTTGGAGCTCTTGGCGCTCTCCCGCCGCTCGGGCTCCGGCTCGGGGCTGGGCTTCTGGTTGAGGCAGGAGCGCAGGGGCTTGCGCGCCCGCCCGCCCCGCAGCTCCTCGTAGGAGCTGAGCAGCTTGCGGATGGGCGGCGAGTGGCTCAGGCAGAGCCGCACGGCCAGGTCCACGGGCACGGCCGGGGGCGCCATGGCCCGCGCGCTCAGCACCTGGAAAAGCCTAAGGAGAGGTGGGCGGGTGAGCAGCAGGGCCCGGAGGGGCC